GACCTGAACTGAAGCTAGATGCTTAACCAACTGAGCCACCCAGATGCCCCCTTTTACAATCCTTTTTCTATTGAACTGTCATGATTATTTTAGGAGAATTCTATGCATTTGGCAATCATCCTCTCTCCTACTCATCTCTACTGGATTACTGCCATCAGTATCTAGCATTAATATACCCCATTTTAATAAACACACACATAGCCCAGAAATAAATGCTCACATATATGGTCAAATGATTTTGTCTTTCTTTTTTTTTAATGTAATCTCTGCACCCAATGTGGGGCTCAAACTTAAAACCTGAGATCAAGAATCACATGCTCTACTGGGGCACCTGGGTGGCTCAGTTGGCTAAGCATCCAACTTTGGCTCATGTCATAATCTCCCAGTTTGTGAGTTTGAGCCCTGTGTCGGGCTCTGTGCTGACCACTCAGAGCCTGGAGCCTGCTTTGGATTCTGTGTCTCCCTCTCTCTCTGCTCCTCCCCACTCATGCTCTCTCTCTCTCTCAAAAATAAACATAAAAAAAATTTTTTTTAAATAAAAAAACAGAAAGGGGTGGGGGGACTAGGTGGCTCAGCCGGTTGAGCATCCAACTTCGGCTTAGGTCATGATCTCATGGTTCATGGGTTCGAGCCCCGCTTCAGGCTCTGTGTTGACAGCTCGGAGTCTGGAGCCTGCTTCAGATTCTGTGTCTCTATCTCTCTCTCTTTGCCCTTCTCCCGCTCACACTGTCTCTCTCTCAAAAATAAATAAACATTAAAAAAAAAAAAAAAAAAAGAATCACATGCTTTATTGACTGAGCCAGCCAGTGCCCCTCTAATGATTTTCAACAAGGGTATCAACATCACTCAGTGATGAGATGAAAATCTTTTCAGCAAATGGTGCTAGGAAAGCTGATACATTTGGACCCTTACCTAATACCATATACAAAATTAATTAACAATAGATCAAAGACATTTATAAATGTAAGATCTAAAACTACAAAACTCTTACAAGAAAACATAGGGGTGGGGCGCCTGGGTGGCGCAGTCGGTTAAGCGTCCGACTTCAGCCAGGTCACGATCTCGCGGTCCGTGAGTTCGAGCCCTGCGTCGGGCTCTGGGCTGATGGCTCAGAGCCTGGAGCCTGTTTCCGATTCTGTGTCTCCCTCTCTCTCTGCCCCTCCCCCGTTCATGCTCTGTCTCTCTCTGTCCCAAAAATAAATAAACGTTGCAAAAAAAAAAAAAAAAAAAAACATAGGGGAAAGCTTAACATCAGGTTCAGCAATGCTTTTTTCCTTTTCTGCAATGCTTTTTTGAAATATGACACCAAAGCACAGGCAACAAAAGAGAAAGAAAAAGATACATTGGACTTGAGCAAAATTAAAAACTTTTACTGTCAAAGGATACCATCAACAAAGTGAAAAGGGAACCCACAGTTTAGGAAAAAATATTTGCAAATTATATTATGGGATCAGAGATTAATATCCAGAATACAGAGAACTCTTGAAACTCAAAACTAAAAAGCCAACCCAGGGTGCCTGGCTGGCTCAGCTGGTAAAGCATGCAACTCTTGATCTCAGGTTTTAAGTTTGAGCCCCACATTAGGTATAGAGATTACTTAAAAATAAAATCTTTAAAAAAACAACACCCCCCCCAAACAAAAACTCATTTCAAAAATGGGCAAAGGATCTGAACAGACATTTCTTTAATGAAATGAAAAAATATATAAATGGCTAATAAACACTTTTAAAAATGTTCAACATCACTAATAAATGTGAATCAAAAGCACAGTAAGACAACAAGATACCATTTCACACCCATTAATATGGCTATTATCAAAAACAAAACAAAAAACAGAAAACAGTAAATGATGGGGAAGATGTGAACAAACTAGAATGCTTGTGCACTATTAGGTAGGAATGTAAAATGGTGCAACCTCTATGGAAAATACTATGGCAGTTCCTCAAAAAATTAAAAAGCAAATTACCATATGATCCAGCAATTCTACTTTTGGGTATATATGTCCAGAAAAATAGAAAGCAGGGTCTTGAAGAGATGAACACCCATCCTCAGAGTTGCATTATTTGAAACAGCCAAAAAGTAGGTGTCAACCCCTGTCCATCAGAGGATGAATGGATAAATGAAATGTGGTGTATATATATACAATCAAATATTTTTTCCAGGCTTAAAAAGGAATGACATTCTGACACATGATATAATATAGATGAACCCTGAAGACATTATGTGAAAGTGAAATAAGCCAGACACAAAAAGACAAATACTGTATGAGTTCCACTTATATGAGATATCTAAAATAGTCAAGTTCATAGAAACAGGAAGTGGAATGGTGGTTGCTAGGGGTTGGGTGGGTGATGGAAATGGGGAGTTATTATTTAATTGGTACAAAGTTTCAGTTTTACTAGATGAAAAAAGTTCTGTGAATGGACAGTGGTGATGGTTGTACAACAGTATGAAAGGACTTAATGCTACTGAACTATACACTTAAAAATAGCTAAAATGGTAAATTTTATGTTATGTACTTTTTTTTAAATTTTTTTTTCAACGTTTATTTATTTTTGGGACAGAGAGAGACAGAGCATGGAAGGAGGAGGGGCAGAGAGAGACAGAGCATGAACGGGGGAGGGGCAGAGAGAGAGGGAGACACAGAATCGGAAACAGGCTCCAGGCTCCGAGCCATCAGCCCAGAGCCTGACGCGGGGCTCGAACTCACGGACCGCGAGATCGTGACCTGGCTGAAGTCGGACGCTTAACCGACTGCGCCACCCAGGCGCCCCTATGTTATGTACATTTTACCACAGTAAAAAAGAAACAGGTATAAAAAAAAAAAGCATATAGGCTTAGAAAGTGAAAACACAGACAGATAACAGAAAACTCTTTCTTGACTTCACACCCCTTCCAGATACAACCTGATTCATTATGCAACTTCTTGAAGAAGCTGTGCAATAATGCTTCAGTTTCTCACTAGATCTACCCTGCTACACTCCTCAGTGGGAATGGTTCTAAAAAGGGCCACCCACACTTCAACTTGACACCTCTCAATGGTATAACCACTCCCACTTCTTTTGCTTCTCAATTTCCTTTATTGGACACCCTTCATTACCATGTCTTTAAATGTTAAAGTGCCCCAGAGCCAAAATTTCTCTTTGCCATTTAAACTCCTTCCATACTTGATCTAATTCACTCCCTGACTTTAAACAACATCTGCCACTGTTGACGCCTAACTGTTTATATCCAGCTTTGACCTCATAAGCTTCATACTTATTTACCATCCATCTACCTACAAGACATTATACTAGGATAACTAATAGACATCTCAATCCTAACAAGTTTAGTTTTGTTTTTTTGGGTTTTTTTGAGAGAGAGACAGAGTACGTGTGGGAGGTAAGTGGGAGAGAGTGAGTAGGGGAGAGGTGTAGAGAGAGAGGGAGAAAGAGAGAGAAAACCCCAAGCATTCTCCATGTCCAGAGTGGAGTCCATTGTGTGGCTTGATATTATCACTATGAGATCAAGACCTGAGCCAAAATCAAGAGTCAGGCACTTAACCAACTGAACCACCCAGGTACCCCATTAAACCTAGAATGTTTAAACAAGAATTCCAAATTTCCTGCCACCACCTCCCCCAACTCCTACACCAGCTTTTTCCTTATTTCCTAAATTAATGATAGCATCAGTCACTAAGTTGCTTAGGACAAAAACTTAAATATCATTCTTAGTTTTTTTTCTTTCCCTACAAACTATCCAGCCTTTCCACACCAGGGTTGTGAGTGGAGAACAGAGTCTTCTTGGTCTAAAATATCCATTGTATGTAATGAACTAATTTCTCTCCTATGTATCTAGAATAGTAATAGTTATGTACCACCCTTCGGAGAATTAAGAAAGATAGGAACCCCAGTCAAGAAGGGCTGCTAGAAAATGAGCAAGTCCACTTCTCCACTGCAGTAACTCCAGAATAGGTCACCATATTTCATATACACTCTCAACCCCTTTTAGACCTTTCTCCATACAACAAGCAAAGTAATCTTTGTAAAAGGTAAATCAGATCATAAATGCCACTGCCATCCCCCCACCACCTCGATTTTCATTCTCTAGAGACTTGCTTCTAAAATCAGAATAAAACTCCTATCTAGGTCTTACAAGGCCCTATCTGATCTAGATCCTGCCTACCTCTCTGACTTATCCCCTAGTATTCTCCCTTCTGCTTTGTTTATCATATTCAACCATACTGGTCTTCCTTCAAGTATTCAAATATGCGGAGCAAATCCTGTCTCAGTGAATCCGCATCTTCTGTTCTGTTTACCCTGAAAAATGGTTCCCACAGATCTTTGCATGGCTGCCACCTTCTCAACCTTTAGGTCTCAGTTCAAAAGCTGCCTCCTCAGAGACTTTCTCTTACTTCCCTAACCTAAGTAGCACACTCCTCATCTTCCTATCCCATTCCTGTTTCCTTCACAGCACTTTTTACTAACTGAAAGTATCTTTACTTGTCTACACGTTTTAATGTCCGATTTCCACCACATGAATTTATGAATGTAAGATCCAAGAGGTTAAGTATTCTGTCTTGTTTGCTGTCCAGCACAGAATATTCAATCAAGAAATATTAGCTCTTGGGGCACCTGGGTGGCTCAGTTGGTTGAGCGTCTGACTTCAGCTCAGGTCACGATCTCACAGTCTGTGAGTTCGAGCCCCGCGTCGGGCTCTGTGCTGACAGCTCAGAGCCTGGAGCCTGCTTCTGATTCTGTGTCTCCCTCTCTCTCTGCCCCTCCCCCGCTCATGCTCTGTCTCTCTGTCAAAAATAAATGAACATTAAAAAAAAAAAGAAATATTAGCTCTATATAGAAAATCTACAGTCAGTTCTGAATAGGAAAAAAGGCTATATGTATTTGTAGTCTTAAGTCATTATAAGAGAGGTGTTTAAATATTATTATTCTAAAAATAACCCATCCTCTAGCTTCCCAAATGACACACAGAGAAATGACACTAATAGGATCTTTTCCACTTACAGTTTCGTATGTAACAACCAGCAATTGATGACTTTGCCAAGAGCTCCATTCCCAAATCCTGTAATCTGCCAGAGTTTTCGGTTCCACATGCAGCCAGAGCTGCCTGGTCAGCAGAAAAAAGGCTTGCCTGCATGTCTCCAGAAGCAGCATTGCTGCCTTTGATTTCTGAAAGTGTATTCTTTACATCAGTTTTCATACATCGAACTTCAGCCATTTGAGTTTTGAGTCTTTTTAGCATCTTTAAATCAGAGGGAACTCGCCACATTGCCTGCTGCTTCCTTTGGTCTTTATCTTTTCGAGAATATGATGCTTTAGACAGAAAGTTGTAAGTCATGTTAATAGAGACTTCTATTAAATCGTTCTATCATACAGTCAATATATGCAAACTTGAGGTGTAAAAAGCTAAGGTGCTCTGGTGGAATCAACAATTAAAAGCATGCATTAAATTCCATTAATGAAAATAAAGATAGATCCAAGTATCCTAATTTTATCCATACCTTCAAAGTTAGAGTCTGGATCACAATATAATCACTCAAATCAGAATAGTTACCTAATTCTAAAGTTTTAAAAAGCTGCCTTATTGCCTGCCTGTGCTTTCTTCTTTATACTTCTCCATTTTCTCAAATTTCCTATGCTGAGCTTTTATCATCTTCATAACTGACAAAAATGAAAAAAAAAAAAAGAACCCAAAAACCTAGAATCCAAATTAAGTAGTCAAATCTGCTATACATAGTATACAAAAAATATATATTCCATCTAAGTCTAAGAAGGTTTCCAGTGTAGTTACAGCTATTAAGTGCCATAGAACAACATAAAATACTTCCCCATCAGTCTTTGCAGCTTCTAAAGTAACAATGTTTTCTCTCTTCCCAGAGAAAGTAGTTGTTTTTCACCCACCCCACTCCTCAAATATTAAAATAGAGGTATAAGTAAGGAAACTACAGACTTTCTACTGCAGAAAGGAAAAAGATATCAATATTTTGAAAATCAAAGAATGTTATGACAGACTCAAAGCAAAAAGAAACCAAGCCTTACCCCCCACCTAAAAAAACAAAAATGGGGGACCAATAGCCACTAAATAAAAAAGAACAAGTCCTTTATTAGCAGGAATGACAGCTGAAACAGCCTGCCTTCTAGTATAGAAGATGAAGTGCTGTAGAAAGTAAACACTGTAATGTGTTCGACAGCCAATCCCCCACTTCTACCTAGCAGAAAGGACTCAGATTGTGTTCAGGTATCAGGCAGTAGGCAGCAATGTGCTCAGGGAGGTTAGATCCCTCCTTTGGCCCCAGGACATACGAGAGTCTAGAACTGGTTCATTCTTCTGACAGTGTTTAGGGTGGGTACATCACTCAGCTAGCCAAAAGTCTGGGGTGGAAGTGCTTCTGAGAAAGATTTTCTATCTTGATAGGGAGATTTTACTGTCTTTGTTTATTTAAGAAACATCCATAAAGAGCTTACTGAATGTCAGATATTTTAAGGAAATTAAGTCATTTAATCCTCTCATATCAATCCTCTGAGGTAACTAAATACTATTATTATCTCCATTTTATAAATGAGCTAAGTAAGGACAGATTTTAGAAATCTAGGATTTAGTCTCAAATCTACCATTTAGTTGCTGTAACTTTCTCTAAGTCCACCAACTTCTGAGTCCATTATTTACTTGTAAAATGAAGACAATAATATACACATAACAGGGCTGTCATGAGGCTCAGAAGACACAATGTTTGTGAAAGCACTCTGTGGTGTAATCCTCCATCCAACCCCTTTCCACCAGGATGTCAGAAATGTTTTCTAAAACCCAAATCAGTTATTATTTTCTATTGCTTTCCTGCTGACAATCATTCACGAAAGCACCAGCGTGGAACACGAGGCCCATTATCTGATTCTACCCTACCTCTCAGTGGTTTTATCTTCTACCTCTACCCCAAACATATTCCAATGTTTTGGTATTACCTGCAACTCTGTAATACATAGGCAATGCTATATCCCCTTATGCTTTTCACATGTTCTATTTCCGGTGCTCCCTCTGTTAACTCAAGCCCATCAGATGAAATCTGAAATGTCTACTTCTTTAGGCACCTAAACCACCAATTGCCTCACTTCTTCCAAATCAATTCTGACCCAATTTTGTATAATACTTAAGAGTATACTTCTACTACAGCACTTTACACATTATAGTAAGAAAGACAAACATACAGACTGAAAAACCAAAGGGTAGAGATAACATCTTAGTGATCTTTGTATTCCAGGCCGAACAGCTTATGGCACAAGATATTCACAATTTTTATTTATTTATTTTTGAGAGAGCAAGCAAAGGAGGGGCAGAGAGGGGGACAGAGGATCCTGAGAGAGAGAGAGAGAGAGAGAGAGAGAGCGAGCGCACAGAGGAAGGGCAGAGAGAGAGAGAATCCCAAGAAGGCTCCACACTGTCAGCACAGAGCCCGTGACTTAGGGCTTGATCTCAAGAACCGTGAGATCACGACCTGAGTCAAAATCAAAAGTCAGACAATTAACCAAGTCAGCTTACCCAACTGAGCCACCCAAGAGCTCCACAAGATATTTCAAAATGTTTTCCTAAACAAAATCTAGTACTCCACATCTACATGGACTTAAATATGAAAATCTGTATTAACCCACATGGCCCAGTTTATTATTACTAGAAACTGACAAGAACTTTAAAAAGTAAAAATCCCAAATGGGAAAATATAAAAAAAAATTTAAACAAACCTCCATCAGCTGATAATCAAACAACTACCAAGATTGTTTGAAATGCTAGGCACTGTGCTGGGCAGGACATACAACAGTGAACAAGACAAACCCTCAGTCTTTGCTCTCACAAAGCTCTCAGTCCAGCTGGAAAAATGAAAAATAATCTATTTCAGTACCATGTGATAACTGCCAAGACAGGAAAGTGTAATGGGATCTTATACCACAGGAACCTGACAATTTAAAGAAAGTTACTGCGCTGAAAATAAGAAGCTTTCCTGAATGTGCCAAGTTACAAGGTTAATTAGAATTGAGAATCTCATCTGTAACCATTCTTTCATATCATTCAGTTATGGCCTTCAAGATTGATAGTTCTTTAAAGCTTCTCCTCCAGATTTCAGCATCAATCAATGCTACCACCATTCTGCTCACCTAAGCTTTTTCAGAATCATTAGCACATGCCACTCAATTGCCAAGCCCTGTAATTGTAACTTCACAAGATTCCACATACTACCATTGCCATGCTACAAATAAAATCTTAATTATACAGAGAGTAGATTGATGTATTCCTTAGAAGTTAAGTAGAACTTTTATAATGTCAAAAGATTCTGAAGATCTCAGATCTACGTATTTTTGCGTATACGATGACTGAGAAAATATCCAGAAATGTATGAATTTGCCCTCTCATACTAGGAACCACTGAAATAAACTTCTACAATAATACCCTCATTAAGCTTCCATTTCTGATAGTTTTCTGGGCATTGCCAGCCTTCTAAAAAGCAGCTTGAATCAAACCACTCCTAAACTGCAACTGGCTTCTCAAAGCCCACTATGCATCATTCCTCAGACTAGGCATGCAACACCTTCCATGGAATAACCCTGTCTGACTTTCTATTTCTACTCACCACTACATGTACCATAAAATCTGGTTCAAATATATTATCTGTAATTCATACCCTGATTGATACCTCTTAAAATGCTTTTACAGTACAGTATGATGTTTTTAAGAACATGAACCTGCAGCGAGTCTGATACATAATAGGTTCACTCAATATGTACTGAAAGAATGAAAGGAAAATAAAGGAATACTATGGACAACTTTATGCCAACAAATTTTTGATAACTTAGATGTAATGGACCAATACCTTGAAAGACAATCTGCCAAAAACCGAAGAAGAAATAGATAATCTGAAGAGGCCTACATCCACCTTCTATAATCTCCAAGAATATAAGTAGGGAATACTTCCAAGGAAGAGGGAATACTTCCAAACCCAATCTACGAGGCATTACTCTAATATCAAAATCAAAGACATTACAAGAAAACTACAGACCAGTATCTTTCATGAATAGAGACAAAAAAAAAACCCCATCAACAAAACATTAGCAAATTAAATCTTACAGTGCATATAAAAAGGATTATATACCACAATTAAGTGGGATTTATCCCAGATATGCTGGTTTGACATTCGAAAATCAAACAATGTAAAGCATCACGTCGTATCAATAGATGCAGAAAAAGCATTTGACAGAATCCAATACCCATTGATGAATTTAAAACAAAAACAAAAACAAAAACAACTCTTTGGGCACTTGGGTGGCTCAGTCAGTTAAGTAACCAACTCTTGGTTTTGGCTCAGGTCATCTCACAGTTTCGACTTCAAGCTTCACATTGGGCTCTGTGCTGACAGCACGGAGCCTGCTTGGGATTCCCCCCTGCCCCTCCCCCACTCACGATGTCTCTGTCTCTCTCAAAAATAAATAAACTTTAAAAAAACAAACAGGGGTGCCTGGGTGGCTTAGTCGGTTGAGCATCTGACTTCAGCTCAGGTCATGATCTCGCGGTTCATGAGTTCGAGCCCTGAATCGGGCTCTGTCCTGACATCTCAGAGCCTGGAGCCTGCTTCAGATTCTATGTCTCCCCCTCTCTCTGCCCCTCCCCCACTCATGCTCGCTCGCGCTCTCTCTCTCTCAAAAATAAACATTAAAAAAAATTTTTTTTAAAGAAACAAAACTCCTAGTAAACCAGAATAGAGGAAAGTGTTCTCAATTTGATAAAGAATAGCTATGAAAAACCTATAGCTAACATCATACTTAATGGTGAAAACCTCAAAGCTTTCCCACCAAAATCAGGAACAAGGTAAGGATGTTCCCCTTCACCACTCCTTTTCACCACTTTACTGGAAGTCCTAGCTAATGCAGTAAGATGAAGGAAGGAAGGAAGGAAGGAAGGAAGGAAGGAAGGAAGGAAGGAAGGGGAAAGAAAGAGAGAGAGAGAAAGAAAGAAAAAGAAAGAAAGAAAATGAAAGGTACACAGATTAAGAAAGAAAGAATAAATCACTGGAATCTACTCCTAAAATCCTTGCTGCATTATATGCTAACTTGGATGTAAATTAAAAAATTAATTAATTTTTAAAAAAGAGAAGAAAATAAACAAAGAAATAACTGAATAAACAAAATAAACACTGAAACCGAAACAAGCATTTTAATTAAAAAGAAGGCTGGATCTATCTGCAATGTTAGCTTTTCATATCCTCTCATATAGGTTATCTTCAGTTAGTTTCCATGACTTCTATTTTCTTGGTTTCTTCCCTTTCCAAAGGTTCTTTAATCTGGTTCATCTTCCACACACTTAGTAAAAACAGATGTTCACCATAATCATCCCAGGCCCTCTTCCTGTTAAAATTTTCTTAAAACTCCCTCTTCTACAATCTAACTCACTTAGTTTTAATTATCCAGTATCACCTCTAGGCAAATAACTGCCTATATTCCGCTTCTTAATTTTTTAGGTATCTAATAGGCATCTCTATTTTGATACCCACTGGCATGTAGATATTTAAAGATTTGCTCTTCCTCTCTACTGTTCCCCCTTCCTCATCATCAGCATTTTGATCACCTGGATTGGAAACTCAGATCATTTCATTTATAGTATTAATTTTACATAGAAAACTTATTTTTGGATAACGAAGATCTTATTCTGTTAATAGTGTATATTCATTTTTCCATTGATATTGAATGTTTTTCAAAAACATGATTTTACCTGTCTATAAAATACACACGGTTAAGCTATAATTTTTCAGACATAACTATATTGTTGGATTATTTTCAAACAACTCTGACTGTTTTCTATTTCAGATATACTCCTAGAAGTGAAAATAAGCACTGAAGGATAGAGGTATTTTATTTATTTATGTATCATTGTATGTATTTATTTGGGGGGGGGGGGGCAGATAGAGGGAGGGAGGGAGGGAGGAAGAGAGAGAGAGAGACACAGAGAGAGAGAATCCCAAGCAGGCTGGTACTGTCAGTGTGGAGTGCGATGCGGGCTTGAACTCACAAACCATGAGATCATGACCTTAGTCATAATCAAGAGTCGGAAGCTTAACCAACTGAGCCATCCAGGAGTCCCAAAGGATAGAGGTATTTTAAACCTAGTACTAAAATTTCCTTCAAAAAAGTTACCTGCAGTAACCTGCAGTTACCTGCAGTTTCCTGCAAAAAAGTTACCTACCTTCAAAAAAGTTACATCTACCTGCAGAATCATAACTTGTCTGTTCCACTAGGTCATTGTAAGTAACACTGGCTGTAATTTAAGCAAAACCCTTGTCAAGGTGTTTTCTTTTCTTTTTTTTTTTTTAAAGCTGTTTCTTTGATCACAAGAACTATATGTGATTTTTATTTTCTTTGCAATTTTCTGTATTTTCCAAATTTTCTACAATAAAAATATCACAGAAAAAAATGTAAAATTATATACAGTGTGATTAAGTTTTATAAAAATGCAAGTATAATACAAAATGTACTTGGATCATAGATAAAAGACAAGTATTTCATAACATAACTGGAGACAATCTTTCAAATTGAGGATCCAGACTTCCCAGAGTATACCTTAGAAAGAAAGAGGCCTAGGGGTGCCTGGGTGGTTCAGTCAGTTAAGCATTCAACTTCAGCTCAGGTCGTGATCTCATGGTCCTGAGTTCAAGCCCTGCGTCGGGTTCTGTATTGACACCTCAGAGCTTCAGATTCTGTGTCTCCCTCTCTCTCTGCCCACACCCGTCTCTCAAAAATGAATACACGTTTAAAAAAAAAAAAAAAAAAGAGGCCTAAATAATCCAGTCTCTGAGTTCACCCTCCAACTAGAGCAGTTCTAGGTGTTTTCTACATCAAAGCTCTGCCTCACACTTTGAAAAATGAGTTCTGTTGTTTTAAAGAAGCATCAAAATCACTGTTCTAAATCACTGATATTTGATTTGTATACTACTACTGTTTAAAAAGGCAGGAAAATACTAAGTATATTTTAGAAAGCTAACAAAAATGGTTTTTAAAACATCGCATTTAAAGGTAAATCCTTAGCTGTTCAAAATAAGTAGGCCTGAGAGTTTCAAAACCTCCATGTTTGACAACACATCTAATATGTGTGGGTACACATCACATTACAGTAATACAGATGTAACTTCTCTTTAACAAATAACCTCTGCAAATAAAACACTGATGCTAGTTGGTATACGTTTTGAGGCAAATAAAACACTGATGCTAGTTGGTATGCATTTTTAGGCTACTGAACATCAAAGCACAAAACCATCTTTTTTATATTCAATTCAGACACAGTTCCACTTACAAGTTAGGGTATTATGGGACACCTGAGTGGCTCAGTTGGTTAAACATCTGACTTCAGCTCAGGTCATGATCTCGCAGTTTGTGGATTCAAGACCTGAGGTGGGCTCTGTGCTAATAGCTTAGAGCCTGGAACCTGCTTCAGATTCTGTGTCTACTCCTCTCTCTGCCCCTCCCATGCTCATGCTCTGTCTCTGTCTGTCTCTCAATAATAAATAAATGGTAAAAAAAAAAAAAAAAAGGTATTAATGAGTCCTGCAAAACTCTTATTAAGTCATTCACAAAGAGGACAACAGTACTTCATATAAATCAAACTGTCAATCATACACAATCTAAATGCCAGATCATATACAAATATTCTAATAGACATTTTGACATTATTGTGCAAAAACATCATGGAACAATAACAACCAAAAACTTAACCTGATTTATATTAATGTCCTTTTTTAAAAATTTTTTAATGTTTATTCATTTTTGAGAGAGAGGCAGAGAGAGAGGGAGAGAGAGAGAGAGCAGGACACAGAATGTGAAGCAGGCTCCAGGCTCTGAGCTGTCAGCACAGAGCCCAACAAGGGGCTCAAACCAACAAACTGTGAGATCATGATCTGCGCTGAAGTTGGACACCTAACCGACTGAGCCACCCAGGCGCCACTAAATGTCATTTTTTAAAAGAAGAAAAAATCCGGCCACTTGAACAAGGATATGATTGATTTTTAAAATGACTAATTTGTGATTAATTTGTATTCAATAAAATTTACTAATTTTGGCAAGTTTCCACAAATATATATAATCAAATAATTATTACCACTCCGTGATTTTTATTAACCCCCCCCCCCCCCAGTTTTCTCATTTGTTATTTAAGCTGATCCCTTCTTTCTCCCTTCCTGGCCCCTCTGCAACCACTGATGTGTTTTTTTCACCACAGTTTTACTTTTTCAGAATTTCATATAATGGGATCATACAATATAAAATTTTTTGTGGGGCGCCTGGGTGGCGCAGTCGGTTAAGCGTCTGACTTCAGCCAGGTCACGATCTCGCGGTCCGGGAGTTCGAGCCCCGCGTCGGGCTCTGGGCTGATGGCTCAGAGCCTGGAGCCTGTTTCTGTTTCTGTGTCTCCCTCTCTCTCTGCCCCTCCCCCGTTCATGCTCTGTCTCTCTCTGTCCCAAAAAAATAAATAAACGTTAAAAAAAAAAAAAAATTTTTTTTGTATCTCATTTTTTTCACTTAACTGATAATTCATTTATTCTTTTTAAATGTCATGTTTTATAATACATAATGAAAAATCAACTTGCTACAGAAACATACTGTGTTCCAACACTTAAATAAGACACTTGGATTAAAATGAAGAGTTTTTTTGTAGAATCACAGAAAAAAGGGAAATTACTATTAATATTTTACCTGTGGGCTGCAAAAGTGAAGCAGGAGGGCGAGGCTGTAAGCTCCACAAATTTTCCATACTACTCCGGTCCTTAAGGTCCAACAAATGTATTAAGATTAACGGATCAATGTCTAATAAACTACTGGTAGCAGCAGAACATAAATGTGCTCTTCTTGACATTCTGCTACTGGCACCCAGATAGCCATGGTTACTACCTGCAAAAGAAACAGAGATGAAGAAAATGCATGCTATAAATTTGCACGAATTTAATTATCATTAAAAGAAAAAGTAAATTGGTTAGTGTGGTTTGAATACTTGTCTATGGACCTGTCTTTTAGGAGTTGGTGTAAGAACATGGTGAGAAGCAGAAAGGAGAAACCAGATTGCCAGAGAGGTATACAGAAGCACAGTGACTAAGCACTGGCCTTATTACTATCCAGAATTCTGGAGGAACCCTCAACCCCATCCTTAGGCCTAGAAATAAAAAGGTGATAACATATATAATATACACAATAAGGGAGATAACGGTGAGGAAAAGGAGAATATATCCCATAACCCAATGGTCTTCAAAGAAAGACAAATCCCCACAGTATCACAGATCCCAAGAAACTAGACACCAAAACAGTACTCTTCTTGAGGAGTTTTTAGACTGAACTTTTTAAGTTTATTTATTTATTTTGAAAGAGAGAGACAGAGAGACACAGTGATCAGGGGAGTGGTAGGGTCAGAGAGAGAGAGATAAAGAGATAGAGAGAGAGAGAGAGAGAGAGAGAGAATCCAAAGCATATTCTGTGCTGACAGCGCAGAGCCCAACGGAGGGCTCAAATTCTTGAACTGTGAGATCATGACTAGAGCCAAAACCAAGAGTAGGACACTTAACCAACTGAGCCACCCAGACACCCCTAGACTGAACTTGTTAATGACTGATGCACAGTATGGACACCTATGAGCAATGTGATATCTGTATCACCTATATTGGACTAAGCTCCTTAAGCTAAAGAAACCACTGGACTTGTATCTAGTGCCTAGTAAAATACCTAGCAAATATCAGGCACAGAAATGATGGTTTAAACTGACCTCCTTCAATGAAACTATTTAAATATGTTCTAAAGAAACTTAAAATTTTAAAGTGTTACATTCAACGAAGTCTTAAAATAGATAATATAAAAATAACATAAAATAACCAGGTTCCGACTATTCATGAGTTTTTCAAAGAGATCTGGAAGGAAATAACTTAGGAGAAAAGTTCCAATTATTCACAAGCTTCAAGCTAATTATCTACTTATATATATTCCATCTATATTCACATCCTCACCTTTTACAACTTCCTCTTCCTCTTTACGAGGTTATCATCCTACTGCAAATTTTTCTTCCCAGCCTTGGTACCCCCTGTAACTCCTATTAAAAAGAGCAGAAAACTCCCCTTTTCCTCAAACTGCTACAACTGCTTGGTCCTTTGTAGGAAGGCTCTCACTTCATTTGGTGACTAGCACCATGCCTGGCAGCACCACTCAGCATTCACCTGTACCATGGCCTCTATCTCAGGAGCTCACTTGGATCTACTTGGCCCTCATCCTGCAATGACACCATGGAGGATAAGAGGAATCTCCTCATCAAGGCGGTCAGTATAAATGTTAAACCTTTCTGACCAGGCTTGTTTGCAAAGGCCCTGGTCAATGTCAACATTAGGAGCCTCATTTGTAATGCAGGGGCTGGTGGACCTGTCCCAGAAGCTGGTGCTACACCAGCAGGAGGTCTGGGCTCCTCTAATGCTGCTGCCCCAGCTGAGGAAAAGAAAGTGGAAGCAAAGAACTGCAATTAAAAAATAATTAAATTAAATAATTACTTAAAAAAACCACACACACCTATCTGCAACAGGAATAAAATAGAAATGTGGATAGAAGGGAAAAAAAAAAAAGAAAGTGAAAGCAAAGAAAGGAGAATCTGAGGAGTCTGATGATGATATGGGCTTTGGTCTTTTTGATTAAACCTTTGTGACATACTCAAGAAAAAGCTGAACTCTTAAGAAAAAGAAAAAGAAAAAAGCAGAAAACTATCCCCTCTCCACCTTAAAACTGCATCTTACTGATGAATGGATAAAGATGTAGGGGTGTGTGTGTGTGTGTGTGTGTGTGTGTGTGTGTGTGTGTGTGTGTGTGTGTACACAATGGAATATTGCTCGGCTAGAGGGTATTATGCTAAGCGAAATTAGAGAAAGACAAATATCGTATGACTTCACTCATACGTGGAATTTAAGATACAAAACAGATGAACATAAGGGAAGGGAAGCAAAAATAATATAAAAACAGTAAGGGGGACAAAAACATAAGAGACTCTTAAATACAGAGAACAAACTGAGGGTTGCTGAAGGGGTTTTGAGTGCGGGGATGGGCTAAATAGGCAAGGGGCATTATTAGGAAGACAATGTTGGGATGAGCGCTGGATGTTATACATAGGTGATGAATCACTGGATTCTCATCCTGAAATCATTATTGCACTGTATCCTAACTAACTTGGATGCGAATTTTAAACAAACAAACAAACAAACAAATAAAAAAAAAAGAACACATCTTAACTCTTTTCCTTTACTAGGAAGTTTCCAAATCAGGCTGCATTTGAGGAGTTTTAAGAATTACAGTTTCTTGGGGCGCCTGGGTGGCTCAGTCGGTTAAGCGGCCGACTTCAGCTCAGGTCACGATCTCGTGGTCCGTGAGTTTGAGCCCCGCGTCAGGCTCTGGGCTGATGGCTCAGAGCCTGGAGCCTGCTTCCGATTCTGTGTCTCCCTCTCTCTCTGCCCCTCCCCCGTTCATGCTCTGTCTCTCTCTGTCTCAAAAATAAATAAACATTAAAAAAAAAATTAAAAAAAAAAAAAAAAAGAATTACAGTTTCCTTGGAGCACCTGGGTGATTCAATCTGTTAAGCATCCGACTTTGGCTCAGGTCATGATCTCACAGTCTGTGAGTTCGAGCCCCGTGTTGGACTCTTGCTGACAGCTCAGAGCCTGGAGCCTGCTTCAGATTCTGTGTCCACCCTGCCCCTCTGCCCCTCCCCTACTCGTGCTCTGTCTCACTCTGTCTCTCAAAAATAAATGTTAAAAAAAGAAAAAAAAAAAGAATTACAGATCCCTACCTCCACTACAGATGTCTGAAAAAGAATATTGGAGTGGGATCCAGGATCTTTTTCTTAAAAGCTGCCCAGGTGGTACTGACTGGATAATAAGTAACTCAGCAGCCCTGTATATTTTATCTACTGCCCTGGTATCTAGTTCTTTAAAAGTAGAAGTTGCCCATTTTTTCATGTTAAATGGACTTATTTAACAGTAGCCCTCTCCTGTTTCTCAGTGCTCTTCCAGGCCTTACTTTCACCAATAAACAAACTCCCTTCTTTCGTGGTTTATGCTCTTTGGCGACTCCCTCCCTCCCATGTTCCCATCTTTCTACTAACTATCCACAGGACATCAAAGACTGTAGCATCTATTTCAGTTTCCCTCTCTCAGAGCTAATATTGCCATTGTACTGGGTGTGTTGTATATGCATATCTGTCTTATACATAAGTATTCAGCTTAATAAATGTTCACAAAGTATCAGTACCCCCAGACCTTCCCATGCCTCCTAAAATTGCTTACTACCTTCCTCTCCAAAAGTAACCTCCATCCTATGGTTAAAACCATAGATTACTTTTGCCTGTTTTTAAATTTTATATGAATGAAATGATAATGTGCTCTAACATCCTGCTTCTTTGTTCAACATTATATTCAAGAGATTCATCTATATTGTTATATGTAGCAGTTTATTCATTTTCATTATTGCTGTGTGGCATCTCAGTATATGAATATACCCCAATTTCTTTCTTTATTCTATTTGGAAAGAATTTGGGTTGCTTCTAGTTTTTAGCTGCTAAGAATAAAGCTACTAAAATTCTAAATACATAAACTGCTTTTGAAGGTCACATGAAGAAAATATAAAATACCTCATAAAAAAGCAAATCAATCAGTGACAGGTTCCCCCACCTCCTGAGCCAACCCCCTACTAAAATGTCACACTAAAAATAAATAAATAAAATAAAATAAAACAAAATAAAATGTCACACTGATCTAAGTTCTTGATTTTATCATAGTGCCTGTGTGCAGCAGCATGACATTCAAGGTCTTATACAGTCTAGTCTTAAACCAGCTTATTCACATCTTTTACTGTTATAAATTATGTTTATTTTTCTTCTTAAATTTTTTTAATGTTTATTTATTTTTGAGAGAGAGACAGACAGAGCACGAGCAGGGGAGGGGTAGAGAGAAGGAGGGAGACACAGAATTCGAAGCAGGCTCCAGATTCTGAGCTGACAGCACATAGCCTAATACGGGGCTCAAACGCACAAATGAGATCATGACCTGAGCCGAAGTTGGACACTCAACCAAATGAGCCACCTAGGCGCCCCGTAAATTATGCTTATTTTTCTTAATTAAAACACATACATGCATACATACACACACACACACACACACACACACACACACACACACACACACACAATGACAACACCTAAAAAAGAATGATGCTGCTCTAAATACTCCTCTAAAAATCTACTGGCAAGCCCTGGCTCATACAAAGGAATGTGTATGTTCATCTTTAAAACATATTGCCTAACACGTTTCCAAAGTAGTGCTACCAATTTTCATTCCTACTGACAAGGTATGAGAGTTTCCACCTCTCTACATGCCTTCAATACTTAGTATTGCCAGTTTAAAAAATATTATCATATATTAGTTGCTACAGTGGGCGTGCCAACAGTTATCTTATTGACTTTTACTTCACACTTCCTGAAAAAAATAAAGAAAAATGAAGAGTCTCAGAGATCTGTGGGATCTCATCAAATGTACCAACATACATACAATGGGGGTAACACAAGAGCAAAGAGAAAGAATGTTCAAAGAAATATGGCTGAAAACTTCCAACATGATGAAAAATATTAGTCTATCACATTCAAGGAGCTTAGCTCAACAAACTCCATGTAGGATAAATACCCAAGAGATCCATACTAAGACATAATATCAATTTGCATTTCTCTGATGAAAGAGGCTAAGTACTTTTTAAAACGTGCATTGGTCATCTCAATAGCCTCCCTCATGAAGGGTGTATTCCAATCTTTTGTCCTTTTTTACTGGGAGGTAGTCTTACCTTTTTCTTGTTGATTTGTAGAAGTTCTTTATATGTTATAGACA